GGCAGCGCTGCAGTGGCTGTGCCTGCGACAGCTTTGATTCTCAGGTTTTCACCGGTGACTTCCTATCTTGGAAGGTGGGGATTTGCCTTTTCACCCTCTCCCTTCAGCCCTCACTTGTCCTGTGCACCTTCCCTTATCTTCCCATCTTCCAATGCAGGTGATGTAATATTGGCCAGGTCAATGTTTAGTGCTTATATTGTGGTTTTTGTAAACACAATTCTCAACTGACATGTTCCTCTTGAGCACTTTCACGTTTCTTTAAGAGTTAATTCTGGCTGGGCGAGGTGGCTCAATCCCAGCACTCTGGGAGGCCAAGGCAGCTGGATCACTTGAGCTCAGGAGTTTGAGACCAGCCTGAGCAAGAGCAAGACCCACTCTCTACTAAACATAGAAAAATTAGCTGGATGTTGTGGTGGACATCTGTGGTCTTAGCTACTCAGGTGTTGAAGGCAAGAGGATTGAGCCCAAGGGTGTGAGCTATGATGCTATGGTACTCCACCCAGGGTGACAGAGTGACACTCTGTCTTAAAAAAAAAGTTAATTCTTACATTTTATCAGTTAAATAAAAAGTTAAGAGTCAATTCTTATCAAAGTATTTTCTTTGATAATTTTATATATAGTCATCACTAGTGTAACCGCACACTCCCATCCAGGTTCTAACCAGTCCCGACCCTGTGCAGGGTAGGGTCAGGTGTGATCAGGATGATATGGCCGCAGCCTCTACTGAGTATTAAAGTGGGGTTTGTGAGCTTCTCTGTAGGGCAGTCTGCGCTGTTCGGAGCTCTCACTGTTAGCTCAGCACTCAGCGTCCTTTAGTTCTTCCCTCTTACCCAGCTTAGATTCTCCAGAGCAGACGTTTTCCTTTATTTGGCTGGAGAATAACGCCTGCTGTCAGCCTTGTGAGCTCGGGAGTGGCAGTGCCCAGAGCGCACGTTCCCTGAGCAGCTCTCTCTCCTGGGTGGCCTTTCTCCTCAGCTACGCCAGGCTCCGGAGTAAGATGCTCCTTTGTCTCACCCTCTCCAGGGAGTAGCTCCATTCGTCCGTCTGGGATCAAAGGGAAGGTGGCTTGGCCATTTAGAACAGGGGAGGGGAACATAGGATTTTTAACTGCTTTTTAAAATAAGCTTTATGGAGGTTTGATTCAGATACTATATAATTCACCTTTTTAAAGTGTTTTTAGTATACGTACAGAGTTGTGTGACTATGACCAAAATTTAATTTGATAACATTTTTGTCACCCCCCAAGGAAGCCCTGTCCTGAGCAGTCACTCCCTACTTTCTTCTGCCCTCTGGCCTCTGGCAGCCACTAAACTACTTGTCCACCGCCCTTTCTCTTTCATTTGTCTCCTTTCACATCTTTCAGACATTTTGAATAAACAGAATGATACTACATTGGTTTGTGACGGCTCCTCCTCCTCGGCATCACGTTCAACGTGTGGGGACTTCATTCCTTTATGTTTCCAAATAATATTCCATGTTTGATACGCCAGGTTTTGTCTTTGTGTTAAGTAATCATATTTGAGTCATTTCTACTGTTGGCTGTTAAGAATAATGCTGAATAATCATATGTGACTTTTGTTTGAATTTGTGTTTTCACTTTTCTTGAGTATATACCTAAGAGAAGAGTTGCAGAGTCATTTGGTAACTTGAGGTTTAAGTTTTTCAGAAGCTTCCTGATGTTTTTTTCAAAGTGACTATACCATTTTACATACACCTAGGAGTAAAATCACGGGATGATATAGTAACTTTATGTTTCACATTTTAGGGAACCGCCAAACTGTCTCTCAAAGTGGCTGTCTCATTTTACTAGAGGACTAGCAAGGTATGAGAGTAACACATTTTCTAATTCCTTGCCAAGACTTTCTTTTTAAAGTTTAGCCATCCTAGTGGGTCACAGGTTGCATCTCACTATGTGTCTGGGTTTTTTAAATTTGCATTTATCTAATGACTAATGAGTTAGAGCATTTTTCCACGCACTTATTGGCCATAGCATCCATGGAGAAATGTGTATTCAATTTTTTTACTCAATTAAAAATTGGTCTATTTCTTTTGTCATTGCTAAGTTTTAAGAGTTCTTTATTCTGGATACTGTCTCCTATGAGATACATGATTTACAAATATAAATCATATTCTCCTGTACTGCAGATTGTCTTTTCAATTTCCTGATGGTTTCCTCTGAAGTACAAAACTTTTTAATTTTGATTAAATTCTATTTATTTTTTTTCTTTGGGTGCTAATGCTTTTGGTTCCCTGATCTATGAAATAATTGCCTAACCCCAAATCACAAAGATTTGCTCCCATGTTTTCTTCTCAGAGTTTATAGTTTTAGCCCTTACATTTATGCCTACAATTCATTTTGATTAATTTTTGTGTGTGATGTGAGATGGGAGTCCAACTTCATTGTTTGCACGTGGATATCCAAAGTAAGTTGTCCCAGGACCATTTTTTGTAAAGATGATTCTTTCCCACTGAATCATCTTGGAACCTTATTGGAAGTCAGTTGATGAATACCTGTCAGGGTTTATTTCCCTACTCTCAGTCCTGCTCCAGTCCTCACACACACACTGTCTTGATTACTGCAACTTTGTTGTAAGTTTCGAATCATCTAGCTGCTTCCTACACTTTGAACCACTCTTTTTCAGTCTCCTCCATTTACCCTCAATTCCAGAGGTATTTGAGCCGTTAGGGGATTATATAGTGTAAATTGGATTTCTTCTTGCATTGATAGTTTAAGATTCAACTTTCTTGTATCTGTAAAATCTTTGATCGCTTTTTCATCTCCTTTCAAGCTTCTAAGTTTTCACGGAGGTTGTTTTCTAATTCATGTTATTTTTATGAGTCTTGAAAAGGCAATAAAGATTCTGGAGGGAACAAAAGTAGTTAAATCTTTAATTTCCTAAATGTTTTAAATAAATGGCTTTTAATGTCTTTTTCCTTCTGTTCCCACACTCAAGAAGGGACGTTGCCCAGTGAGTCCACCCCGTCACCGCCGGGTGCTTTGCACTGTGTCCTTCCTGTTGCTGCCTTAATCCAGGTCGCCATCTCTCAGGGAGACTATTCCAGAGGTTCCTGCCTTCAGTGTGCACGTTCTCTTCTACTCTTCTCCTGCCCGTCTATTTTCCTTTCTTAATTTCTTCCTCCTTCCCTCCTTTCCATCACTATTGAGCAATAATAGTTCTGTCTATATTATCTTATGTTATTTTCTCTACCTAGAATTATCTTTTTACTATCAAAATTTCCCGTTCCCTCTGACTAACAAACTCACGTATGAAGATTCAGTTTTTGCAACTCTTCCCAGAAGCCTGTCCTGACTTTCCTCAGCGTAACCGGAGCCGTCTGCCCCTGTGCATTTGATATCTTCTGGGGAGATACCGACACATTTTACTTCACTTACTTACTTGCGTGTCTTTTTTTCCATTTGGACTGTGGTCTCCTCCAGGGAAGGTGGTGTGTGTATCTCATGCATCTGGGAGCCTCCAGATTCAGTTTCAACACCTAACACAAAGTGAGCGCTTAATAAATATTTGTTGAATTATACATTTTCCAAAACTTTGTTCCTGCTGAAATAATTTATGTATGGTCTGTAGAGTCTACTTTTGTTAACATGTTTTTACTTGTTCAGAATACTCGGGAGGCTATAGAGCTGTTGAATGTAATGATTGAGAGCGTGGATTTGGAGGCCTGACTGCCTTGGCCACTCTATGTGTGTCAACCTTTGCCATATTACCTAAATTAAACTCCCTGTGTCTGAGTTTCTCCATATGTAAAATAGAAATAACAGTGGCTGTTTTGTAAGTGTTTTTTTTGTGATGACTAATCAAATTGTAACTTAGAAAAGAGCTCAGAGAGTGCCTGGAATAGAACTTGGAAATACTAATTGATTAACTCACTAATATACATATTAGCTATTATTATTATACTCAAATTACTTCAGCTCATTTAAATGCTTTTCCGGTTAGCTGATCAGAGCCAGTCTTAAGAGAAAATGTAAGCTAAATGATCAAATAATGGTTACGTCCCACCGAGACTCTGGGAGCAATTAGACTCCAATTGCTATTAGTTCATCCACTCCTGTTTTGGAATGTTTTTGTCTTGTTTTCTATATAGAAAAACAGTACTAGCCCAGATTTTGTTATTATTATTATTATTATTGTTTTTGCAGTTTTTGGCCGGGGCTGGGTTTGAACACACAACCTCCAGAATATGGGGCCAGCACGCTCCTCCTTTGAGCCACAGGCGCCACCCCAGATTTTGTTAATTTTTTCCAGTCAAACAAGCACATTTGGTCAAAAGTTTCCCATTCTTCAAAAGATTAATAATGGGACATGATGAATTTTATGACTTTCCAAAGTATGAATAGTGAGACCATTTATTGATTTATGCATATCAATTTATTGACCTATGCTGGGTTTGATCTAGTTCCAAGTGAAGAGTAAAAAATCAGCAGCCATCAAGAGCATCAAAGGAACGACTGATAATAGGGGTATTTAGTTTTCTTTTGCATCTCACTTAGTGAGGAAGATTCCGAGTTAGTGTCTGAACTATACTTGTCTATCAGGGGCTGAATCAAAGTCTCACATTCACTTTGCAACACAATCGCTGGAACAGGACTCTGCACAGAGGCTTCCCAGGACTTGAAAGCAACTCCTTTTATGAAAGTGTCACACATACTTACATGGACAAAAGCATCGCATATCCAGTCAGAAGGTGCTTATTAACATCACCAGGGCTTGGTTAGAGGGTGCAGAACAAGATGTAGTATTGAGTAGCACAGAGCGAGGCTGTAGTTAATAACAGTTTGTTGTGTATTTCAAAATCACGAGGAGAGTGGAATTGGAATCTTCTTAACACAAAGAAATGATAACTCTTTGAGGTGATGCATATCCCAGTGGTCCTATCTGGTCATTACACATTGAATGCTAATGTCAAAATATGTACCCCATAATTACATACTACTGTTTATCCATAAAAATTAAAAACAACCCATGTAAACTGGCTTAAGGATTCAGCAGTGCTCATCTTTTAAACATGATTTTTCTAATTTTGTAAAGAAAGGACAAAATCTTTGAATTCACACATCCTTAAAAGACTGAGGTTAACTTGTCAGTGGCAGACTTGAGAGATGACAGCTAACGTCAAGGGAAGGATGATTTCCTGTCCAAATACCCACTTGTGTATTATTCTCAACCACCCTGCCCAAACTGCTACTCGACCTATGAAACAAATCACACCATGAGCACAGATGACTCCAGACTTCAGGTCTGTAATCTGATCGTGGCCCTCGGCAACCAGAAATGAGTTTCTTTCTAATCAGCCTTCCATCAGTGCCCAGTCACGCATATAAAGGAGTTCGGGGTGGGAGGCTTTGCACTGCTCTTCAGCACCAGGGCTGTGGACAGCAGAATCTCCGCCAGCTTCGCTGCTGCACCGCCAGTCCCCCTGTTGCAGAGAAGGGAAATTGCATCTGGATCCATGCAGCCGGCAATGATGATGTTTTCAAGTAAATACTGGGCAAGGAGAGGGTGTTCCCTGGACTCAGCGGTGCCTGAAGAGCATCAGCTGCTGGGCAGCTTCGCAGTGAGTATGAGCGCCCGCACTCTGAGGAGTGTTCCCCTGGGTGCTGATCATCTTCTTTTCATAAGAACACCTGCTGTCGAGGAAGCACACACACCTCAGGGCCCTCCTCTTTTACCAGCTGTCCACCCTGCTTCCCTCCTGTCTGCCTCCTGTCTTCCTCCTATCACTGTAAAGCAAAGCGGGTGTACTGATAGCTGTGTGCTAAACTTTCTCTCCTCAATGTTTATAAGTAGAAAGTTATAATGCCTGACGAAGTGCCTGAACATTGAGAATGAGAGGTTGGCAGGACACAGTGGTTCCTACATGTAACCCTAATACTTTGGGAGGCCAAGGAGAGAGAATTGCTTGGGGCCAGGAGATTGAGATCAGCTTGAGCAAGAGTAAGACCCTGTCTCCACAACAACAACAACAACAAAAAAAAAAAAAAAAAA